TCTGCATTTGCTCTCTGAGAGAAGCGCCAGGGGAGGCGGCTAAGCACTTTGACGGCAGGCTGGCCTCGATTTGAAATCCAGCTCCTCTCCCAGCTGGCTGTGCGACTGCGGCCAAGTTGCTTCACCTCTCTGATTCACGCATTGCCCGATATCCCTCAGGGGCACAGAACTGCCCCAGGTGAGGAAGGCTGGGATGGTGCAAGACAGAGGAGCTAAACAAGAGGCGCCCTCTCCCAGTCCCCATCCCGTGAGAGACCCGCCAGCCGCCCACTCTCACCGCCTCACTCTCTCCTCCAGACGGGCACCTGACCCTGTCTCTGTCCCCACAGCTACCCTCACTGGACACCTTCCAAAAAGCCACAGCCCTGCCCTGCGGCTCTGCCTTCTGCTTGGCTCCAGGGTGAACCCCGCCCCCGGCCCCACCTTCCCAGTTTCCCCCTTCTGGGCGCCGTGCCTTGTGGCCAGGAGCTCACTGCTCCCCTGGAAACCCCACTCACCCTTCACAGCCAGCTCCAGCTGTAACCCCCAGCTCAGCCCTGCAGAGCGCCGCACTTCCGCTGGTCCTCAAGGATAGATGTCTCCAAGCAAAGCGGAAGGGGCTGCCAGCGGCCACAGGTCCCTCTCTCGGAACTCGGGCCAGGTGTCTTCAGTGACCACCACGCCACAGGAAGGACACTGTCTGCTGCCCAGCGGGCGACATGCAACAGGACTGGCCTCTCCCTCCCACTCCCTGACACGCTCTTTGCTCACCAACTGCCCCCCCCGTGCACACACACACACTCACACTCGCACACACCTCTTTTCCTGTCCACCTCTCCTGGTTCCTCCTACTTGGTGTCCTTTGCAGATGTCCCCGGCCCCGTCCTTGTCCTGTTGTCTGATTGTCCCTCCACTGCTACCACCTGGCCAAAGTGCCACTCTCTCACCTGCATGCCACCACAGCCCCCACCCTGGCTCCTGCCCTTGCCTACCCTCTGCAGCCTCTTCCCAGAGCTGAGTGTGGCACAGATCATGTCTCACCTCTGCTCAGGACTCTCCCGCAGTAACTGTCTCACTCAAAGTGAAAGCCAAAGTCCCTCCAATGGACCAAAACCTTACATTATTAGGTGCCCGCTGTACTTAACCACATCCACCTGCCTTTTTGTTTTGTTTGGTTTGGTTTTTTGAGACAGGGTCTAACCATGTAGCTGAGACTGACCTGGAATTCACTATGTCACCCAGGCTGGTCTCAAACTCACAGTGATCCTCCTGCCTCAGCCTCCTGAGTGCTGGGATTACAGGTGTGCGCTACCAAGCCTGGCTTCCACCTGCCTTTTTAGTCATCTCATTGCCCTCCTGTACTCAGCCATGCTGTACATTCCTGCCACGGGGTCTTTGCACAAGCTGTGCCTGCTACTTGGAAGATTTTTCTTCTGAGAATAGGAATGGCTTCTTCCCTCACCTTCTTCAGATCTCAACTCAAATGTCAGCTACTTAAGGAGGCCTCTGGGACCACCCTATTTAAAACTGCAGACCACCTGCGCTCAGTATAGCCTAAACCCCTACCCTGCTGTTTCTTTGCAATCATGGTGTGACAAAGAAGTATTGAAAGTATTGTGTACTTTACTTCTTAGAACATCTGCTCCACAAGGATAAGAATCTCCCCGCAGCCATATCCCAGGGCTGGCAAAAATTAAGCACGTACACTAGGAGTCCTGAGTGCAGCAGGAGTGGACCTCTTGCCAAGACCATGGTGGAAGGGTCGGGGATTTAACTCAGTGGTGCCGTCGCCTGCCTCACAAGCACAAGGTCCCGAGTTCAATCAGTACTAAAAACACAACGACAAAACAAAAAAACCAACATCGTACCAGTGGAAGGGCTGTAGACACTGGTACTGCCCCAGTTAAACAGACCCCAGCACGCTAATGCGATTTACACTTTTAGACTCAGGAGTTCGTGTCCCTCTCACTGTAGTCCTAGAGGCACGTGGAGCCCCCTTTAGACAGCTGTAGAAAGTGAGGTTATCCCACCCGAGGCGGCGGGCCGGAGTCTCCGGAGGGTCAGGCTGGGCTGGAGACTACATTTCCCAGGAGCGTCTGCAGGCGGGGCAGGGCGGGCGGGCTTTATAGGGCCTCGCGTTCCAGGGGGCGCTGGGGGTGGGCCGGAGGGCAGCAGGAGAAGAGGCAGTGGGTGGGCCCGGCTGGAACCGAGCCCCCCCTCGCCCTGCGGCGTGTAGGATGCCAGGCAACCTGTCTCACTTTGTCCCCCCACGGCCCTGGGCGCCCAACGCCCAGAGAACCCCCCTTCCCCCCCAGGCCCCCGACAGGCGGAGGAGAGGCGGGGATCCCTGCCGTCCCTGGAGAAGGGCGACAGCACGCTGGAAGCCTGGACGCCCCACCCAGCTCCAGTTCCGGGGGAGAATTCCAGGTCGCTGGGATGGGCGGGGAGAAGAGACGTGCGCGATAGCTTGGAATGAAGGCTGGCGATCGCGGTAGCTGAGCCTCACGGTCTCCCCATTCCTCCCTAAGCCCCGCGGCCACCACAGTAAAATTGGGGTTGTGCAGGTAGGGATATTACCAGCCCCCAGGCGGGAAGCACGGGATATGGATCCCGGCTGAGAGCACTTTGCAAACTGCAATGCGCTGGGCGATTGAAAAAAAAAGTCAACATTGTGCTATTGGATTCCTGCAGTAATTCTCAGCCAGGTGGCGGTGACAACGTCTCTGAAGAGCGCCGCGTGGAAAACATCTCAGATATGGGGGTAGCTATGGGGGGGGTGTTTCCCCCCACCGAGGTCTTAGTGGGAACCAGTAGGATTGTTTTTGAAAAAAGGACCAAAACAAACCTACCACGGTATTGTTTTGTTCAACTTGGCGGGTTGACATCATCGAAGTAAGAACCTTGACCTTTGAACTAACTTGGCCCTTCAAGGGCTCCGCCTTTCCTGCCTGTGCCACGGAAATAAGCCCAGGGAGCACCGCTTCTAACGATTTTGGCCTCTCCTCCCCCCTCCACTAATCACTGGGATTAATCCATCCCCTGATGTTGGGGGACCCTGGTCTGACTCCTAAGTGCAGTAGCAGCCCTCCCGTAACCCCCTAACTACGACCTCATCTCTCCCTCCCCTCCCCCTCCCCTGCAGGACCTAGGTATCTGTGAACAGCTCCCGGGCCTTAGCAGGGACGCGTTCTTCATTTTGATCAGCTACAAACTCTCACTCCCAGGGTATTGTTTAATTAAAGAGCCTTATTTCGAAGGGAAGAAAAGTGGATTTGTTGAGGGAGTGTGCCAAGGGGCAAGCATCCCCCAGAATCTTAGCCCAGGGCAGCGGCCAAGTAGATAACGGCACGTGCGTAGCAGGTCTGCCGCAGACAAGGGCTCTTAAGGTGTTCGGGGTCCCTTTCGCTGGTCTCTGAGCTCCTAAAGTCCCTCCGAATGCCAGGACTCCCTACAGCGCCTGGCACCCCTCGTCCGCTTCGTATCTACCTGCCTGGTCGCACCCGGGAAGATGTATGTATTTTAACAAAGGCATTGCATAGTCCCAGGAAAATGGCGGTGGTCCCAGCCACGGATCCTTACACAACTGCACCCTTCCCGAGGATTAGTCACGACCCAAGGAACGCGACCCCTCCTATGCCTACCCCATAGAGCCCCGTTTTTCCCAAGTCTCTAAAGCACTCATGGCCTCTCTTCATTGCAGGGGCCCCCAAGAACGGTCTCTGGTTAGAGACATAGGGGCAGCTCCTCCATTGTGGACCGCCCCCCCAACACACGCACCACCTCCAGAGGTGTTGGGAGTAGGGACTGGACCCCCACGCTGGGCACTGGGATGAGGGGGCAGCGAGCTCTACCTCACACCCCCCAAAACTCCCAAGCTGAGTGAGGCATGTAAATGAACTCTCCGTTAGGATACAGGGCAGATGTGGGGGTCTCTGAGGACAGTAGGACACCGGGAAGACCCCCTCCATGTCTCTCTGGAGACCCAGGCAGCACTGGAGGTTCAGCCTCCGGAGGTAACCTCAAAGCAGAGGTCTGGGGGCGCGCTGTGTTAAGAGACGCCCCAGGAGGGGGAAGGGACAAAGTTTGAAAGTATCCTTCCAACTCTTCCTGGGAAAGTATCCTTGGGGGCCCCAAGGACAGAGAGGGGGTAGGGGTACTGGGGGGCCAGTGGTGGGGTGACTCCTGAGAGGC